TACGAAGTTATTACGCAAATTCGCGGAATAATGCGTTAATTACTAATAGTGAGATTGTTGGACAATTAATGATTGTTGGTGAAAAAATTTAGAATGAAGGGAAGTGACGCATTCATAACGGCGGTCGTCAAAGGGTTCAAGGACCACATCGTCCTATTTGAATTCTGTGGAACAATCAAACAGGAAAACTAACCATACGATGAACAGCAGGTTTTTTCACAGGGCGACCACTTGGATAAAACAAACGGATGGCATGGTCTTGTTCACCAGCATTGTAGTGCACACGATTCGAACAATTTACACAGTAGGATACCTAAAAGAAAACAAAATTGCAATGTTTATCGCTTTTACTACGGAATCATTCGGAGCCATTATACTACTAGAATATCATTGATTCAATGGTAAATATCTCTTTGTGCAATTCAAAGCAAAAAAAAACACCAACCTCTGATAATGTCACTCTTTTACAGAGGAAACATTCAGGGCACATTCCCTCAGCTGGTTTGCCGCATCCGTGACAGGCTTGCACAGCTGAATGATGTTGTTGCATATGAGAAAAGACTAATAAAATACAACAAAATGTTGAAAACTAACCGTTATTCACGAGACCAGTGATTTCGATCCTTTCCAGTGGCAGGATTTTATCAAATAGCTTTGCGGACTCTCCATATTCAACCCGTTCATGAACCAAAAGCATGTGTACAGTGTAATGAATGAAAATTAGTTCTATTGCTCACCGGAAATGTGAGAATCCACAATATAGAATCTAGGCTTAAGTCAAGTAGAGGGGTACCATCCATGGATTCCTACTTCAGGTCAACTTTTCTCATGAACCAGTGCGCCTACACATTGGATACGAAGAAGGGTCTACTTTTCGAGTTTTCGAGTTAGGAAAGTGAAGCAAGCATCTTGTCCTTCACAATGACGTTCACAACGAACATTACGAAAATATTCTGACAACTATGAAAGACCGAACTTCTTAGCTTCCAAGAGCTCGGCAAACTTCTCAGAATGTCAACTCTAATCATATGTGATGAAACGGCAGGCAGAGGAGGCGTAGCTAAAGCTATGATTCGAACACCCTAGAATACACATTATGATACCAATCCAACTTCTGCGTTCAATGTTAGGACTTGTCTTTTTTGCATCTACACCGCAGACTGTCTCAACTAATCACGTTCTCATGACTCATTCAAACTGTGTATGAAAATAACTTCCAAGTTACTAAATAGTACAACGTTGTCTAATGTGCTCATGACTACATGTTTTCATTTCAGATGTTGTCTGCTGTGTTGTGCATTGAGACATCGCATTACGTAGCATTCGTACGGTCGCTCTCTGGGCGCTGGTTATTCTTTGACTCGATGGCTGATCGAGAGGGTTTAAGTGATGGTTTCAACGTGCCTCAGGTATGAGCTCGCTCTTTTATACGATATAGGCTTGTAATTTAGCGTGCATACAACATTGCCAATACCTCAATTGAAACTTCCATTCTCTACCCTTTTTGATTACATTAATTAACACATTGCAAGGGAACCGGAATGCCTTCATTTCTTCGAAAAATACAATCAGATGATATGACGAGATGCCCTGTGCCATCCAGTGACTGCACACGTGTAGAAAGCTCTTCTGACTAATTCTTCGGTGTCGTGTTTTCTGACTCCTTGGCCTTGTCGTCCTTTTCGTTGGTAGCGACTTGCATCTCGGCTTCCTTCGCTTCACGTGCTCTAAAAGCCCACGTACTAGCACTTGAAAGTAACTGGCGAAACTTTAAACTTGGTTGAACTTACTGTTTTCCTTTGTCTGGGCATCTTTTGCGATGCTTTGTGCAGTGGTGATGACGAAGGTGATGCCCACATCGAGTAGGACGAGGGCGCTTCTCCTCGTGTTTGCGCTCAGAACTACTAGGACGTTTTCGATCACGAGAGCGAGATCGCCGCCGCGTAGATCTGGAACTTACTGTTGTGTGTAACGGTGTGGACAATGGTCAAGGAATGACAAGTAAAGCACGTGCCTTTTGACTCACCGATCATCGTCGCGGTCTCGACTACGCGACTCCAGGCGCCCGTCGCCGAATAGCATAGCTCGTTTACGCTCCGCAAATTTCTCGTCGATCTCCTTCTAAACCACACCGGATAAAACAATGCTGATTACTTGATATAGGATTTTTCAAAGGCTTGCCTGAATAGGAACGGGAATTCGAGGGAACAGTGTCCCGTACCAGTCGAGTTTAGTAAGCATAATGCGGACGACTTGTCCAAATGTCATGACATCACCACCTCCAGACCTTGGATCGATTTCCTCTTCGTCATCCTGATTTTAGCAGAAACATGTAAACCGATTCAGCGTAAGAGTAAAAACGTCAAAGTCAACCCTACCAAATATGGCTCAAACCACTCCCACAAATCCGCTGGTGGCTGAGTGTAACGTATATACATAAATCCTAATCCGCGGATATAAGGTGAAACCCGGCTGTTGATCATCGATATTAATTGTTTTCTAGAAGAAATTCTTACGCTTTTAAAAAGAAATTAATGGTATTGTCAACCACTAACGTTCTACTGACCTGGTAAGGCGAACCTTGAAAAATCTATACAGAAGGCAGAATGCTGAACTAACGACTCCTCCAGCTCCGACCCCTCGCACCTAAAACATACAAACGCATGTAATGTACACGTGAAGAGCCGCTGATCGACAAGCTTACCCCGCCGCACATGCCAGTCATTCCCTGCACTTTGCGTGTTCCTTTCTCCCATGGCTCAAGATGTTTCACCTTAACAGTAGAGATGGTGGAGGATGAGTCCCAGTGACGAAGTGAAAACATACCTTGTAGAAAACCTCATCGAGAAGCTGCTGAGCGGTGTCGATCTCTACAAGGTGATTCTTATAGTAGTAACTCTCTTTGACATTCTCCAACACAAGACCATTAAGATTCATTGTCTGCTGATTTCCCCAACATGGCAAAGTATTGCTTTTTCTGTTACTCTGAAAATAAGTATAGCATTGTAAAGGTTCAATGTAACCGAAATTGCAATTAAATGTACCTGAATAGTTGGGATCTCAAGATGGTCTTCGTCATCGAGAAAATCAGCTATTGTGAGAGGTGCGGAGATTGGCTTCGCTGTAGTTGGTTGTTGTTGCTGTTGTTGCTGCTGCTGCAGCTGTTGCTGTGGTTCTTGCTGAGGCTGCAGTGATTGGGACTGAGCGATGAGCTTGCTGTTGGTGTTGCAGTTGTAGCTGTTGCAGCTGCTCCAGTTGCTGATTCATATTTCTTAAAAAAAATTCTATTCTTTAATATTGAAGCTCAGTTAAATCCGACACAACGATGACGAAGCGATTAGAAATAGAGTTCTACCAGTTTTTAAATCAAATAGATTATAGAGCGCAATGTAAGAGTCTAGCAATCATTCAAACCAAAATGTACTTGGAACAATTGCCGCTATTTTCAGGTGAAAGACTGCGAGCGGATGTCATGGTGGTTATCTCAGGCCGGATGGGAGCGACTGCGTGACGCGGATGAGGCGGGCACAATGAAGGTATGACTTTAAAATTCTGGCAACTCCCACAAAACAATCATTTCTTCTTCAGGCCATGCTGGGAAAGGGAAGTGATGTGGATCCGTTAGTTACTCGATTATTAAGCGATTCGTATATTTGCTTTTATCATGAAGAGCCATCTGGTCATGGATCGAATTCTTCGTCGAATCTTTTGAATAATATGATACAAAAGGTTGTCAAGCCTCTCACATGATAGTCAAAACGAGGTGTAGTTAAGCAGCTTTTAGCTTCAATTGAATTTTCTAATTATTTGGATGTGGGTAAATCCCAGTCCGGAATAACGTCATAGTAGCATATTAAATTTTGATTAATGCTGTGAAGCATATGTTCTGTCTTTCTGACTACTATTGTATATTTCTGTATTCATCACATTTCGCTTGAATTGCAGTACAGTGGACCAGATAAACCAAAGACGATCATATTATTTTCTGAGATTCCCGAATAGGTGTTCTCTTGTAATTAAAGATGGTTTAGCTTATCCTGTTCTCCATCATCCCTGTAGAACTATTAATCGATGTGATTCTCTTTCCCTTATGTAAGGTTTAGCAAATACTGGTTTTGTTGTCTATTCTAAATTGAAACGACACATATAGAGCTATAGCTTCTTTAGTGTCTCTTGGAGATAGCATTATTGATTTCGTGTAGCATTAATTACACTTGCGCTTTTGTCAACGCCGGTCGCCTCTGTTCTATTGTTTGCCACTGTTCACGGGATTTGAATCGCATATACAGAAAATAAAATTTTAAGCATATCTATGATGGAGAAGGAGACAATATGAAAATTTACAGTTATACCCACATCATGTGAGATAAAAAAAAATCAACTGAGAATCTATATCTTGAGATCGGCACTACATTTTTAACTATTACTTTATGAAAACTGCTTCTGAGAATCAAGATTTGATTCCTGTACCCTGATTGGTGAGTAAGAAATAGCACATGGTTAGAGAAGTCGCAAGATCATTTAACATGGATTAGATTCTTCACTTCCACCTCGATGGAAATTGGTGAAAGCAAAAAATAACAGGTAAGTAAGTGTTCACTATAAATAGACGAAACAACAGGGAAATGATAGCATTTCACTCATTTGTCTAGAAACTCCTAACTTTTGAACTAATGTTACCAAAGTACTTTTAATCATTAGGAAAACATTGTATAACACAGAGGCACCAAAATTTTATTTCAAAAGAATTCCAAAAGTTCACAAAATTCCAAAAAAATTCCAAAAAGCAAGAAAGTTTGAAAAAGAATTCCTTTGAAATCTTCCGCGATATTTCGGTGTATAACACCTTCTTCAGGCCTGAAATACATTGATTACAGTTGGTATATTTGGTGGTTTCCTACACCTATATTGATACCCACATGTGTTGCCACAGCCAATAAAACTGCCTTCACGGGAGCTGCGCCGTTGGAGTGAAAAGAAATGACTTACCGCTCATCCCCTGCTTAACACGTTGACGACAACGCGCGTTTTGGGCTTTTGCACCGCGTGGGACCAGAGCGATTTTGCAGGCGCCGCCGCTTCACATAAAATCCGTGAATTCTGAGCTTTAACTATGCAAAACCCGGATGCAACAAAATGTTTCGAATGATATTCGATGTATCAAACTTCTCAGAAGGAACAACTGTAAAAGTTCAATCGAATGGACGTTTTCTGGCAATGAAAAGGCAATTTTCAGGTAGCTCTTGCTGTAGTGGACCTCAAAATTATTTTTGACTCGGTTGCTTCACTAAAAACTTGTATCTTGCTATATGTGTAGGTCTATACTTGCTTTTACTACTCTTTTTTTATGACCGAGGTTGTCAGAATTTAAAGAAAACTAGGAATGAACACAATTGGGAAATTCGTAGGACTTGGAAAACCTTTGCTAAAAAGGAGCATATTCAACCATTCGATGAACCTTGCCGTGTCTAGTCATATTATGGTGTGGTCTATAGAATAGATGCAAAAAATTAGAAAAGAAGTAGCGCATGCGCGAAAAAAATTAATAATTTGTGTGTGCAGCGCATGCGCTGCACACGGTCCCACACGGTGCTCAAGCTGTGATGCGCATGCGCTGCACAATGTCGTCAACGCATCAGTCTCCCGACGTCAGTGTGCACGGCTCATTGCATGTGATATGAAAAATTACGTGACTTGTCGTAGATCTACCTTTAACTAGATTGTAGAGCCGTTACGAGTATCGTCTTACTATTTATTCGAGGGATATGTTTTTTATTCTGAGGCATCCAAATAGTTTCCTTTCCATCGTGTTTTCTATGGAGCGATGTAATGCCCTGATGGTTAACGTGGGGGGAGGGGTCCCCATAGGCGTGTGTTTTGGTGCGGTGCTTGGGAAGCTGCTTGTTTGGATAAGAGGCTGGGTTTTGTAACGCTCTTCGATGCTCATCCAAGCGCTTGTAAAGAGGCCGTTTCGATTCTCCAACATATTTTTGGCCGCATCCTTGACATTCTATTAAATAAACGGTGCCCCTCAATTGGCAAATTTTATTGCTGTCACAGTATGCACAATTGGGGTATTACATCGCTAGTTCAGGGTAGCTTTATAATTGGCTGTGTAGCAAACACGTGTGGTATCAATGTAGGTGTAGGAAACCACCAAATTATACCAACTGTAATCAATGTATTTCAGGCCTGAAGAAGGTGATACACCGAAATATCGCGGAAGATTTCAAAGGAATTCTTTTTCAAACTTTCTTGCTTTTTGGAACTTTTGAAATTTTTGAATTTTGTGAACTTTTGGAATTCTTTTGAAATAAATTTTGGTGCCTCTCTGTGTTATACAATATTTAGGTGCTGATGAGGCTCCGGGACAGCACAATATTAAGATTAAGTAAACACCTTCATTGTCAAAAAAGGATGGTCAACGTTTCCATAAACACGAACAAGTTGGCCATTAACAGCAATATAGGGCCGATGTCATGGTTCGCGAGTCGAGCGAATCGCTCGATCCGAGCGTTGCGCCAGCGAATCGAACGTTGCACCAGCGAATCGAACTTTGCGCCAGCGAGTCGAACGATGTACCAGCGAGTCGAACTAGGTACCAGCGACTCAATAGTGGCGGGACCCAACGTTTAAAGGAAGCCCGCCACTTTCAAACAGTGTCCGCTGTGAAAGTCCCGCCACTTTCAAAAAGGGTCCACTGTCACGTGACACTGTTTGGCCCCAATCCTCTGAGTGTGCACAGTTCTTGAACTTCCACTTTTCGCAATCCCAGAGACGTGTTCTTGAACCTTTTGAGCACCGAACATGTTTCTAAAGAGTTGAAGAGGGAATACCGAGTCGCTTTCCGAAGTTGCAATTTCAGAGACCGTCATTCTCAACCTCTTGGTTAATGGGTATCACCTGTATCACCTGTCGTCCCGTTGATCATCGAATTGCTCGAGCGGGCGCCAGCAACGTCTCCATTCGTCCCTGTCGCGTGCAAGAGTTGTCCAGTGGACCTCCTCGCTCGAGGGACACGATGTCCTTCATTCCTTTCGTTCAGAGCTTTCGTGAAGAAGTCTGACCATCGGGCCGGCGGTCGTCCAGGTGTTCGTTTGACGTCCCGAGGGATCCAGTCGGTAACCGCTCTGGTCCAACGGTCATCGCAAAATCGCATGACGTGTCCGGCCCACCTTATCTTCGATTCCTTGGCGAAAACGGCAGCGTCCCTGATCTTCGATCGTTGGCGTAGTTCGGCACTCCGGATTCCCCTCTGCACTTGCGTGTATAGGGTTACTCCTAGCATCGTCCTCTCGACAGCGCGTTGGATAACGCTGACCGCATGCTCGTCCTGCCTGCGCAGAGTCCAAGTCTCTGAGGCGTAGGTTAGGGCAGGAAGGACAGCGGAATCGAAGAGGTGGGCACGGAGCCGGATGTTCTTCGTCTTCTTCACTACTCCCTCGATGTTCTTGTACGCTCCCCAAGCCGCTCGTTTCCTCCTGCTCAGCTCTGGAGCTAGATCGTTCATCATATTGATTTCCCGACCTAGGTACACGTAGCTGGAGCATTCGGTGATGTTCGTTCCGTTGAGCGTGAATGGGGCATCAGGAACCAATCCGTTTCTCATAAACATCGTCTTCGTTAGGTTCAGCTGTAGACCAACCTTACCACAGGCGCAGTCGAAATCAGCCAGCATTCGCTCCGCTTGCTCGATGTTCGGCGTTATAAGAACGATGTCGTCAGCAAAACGAAGGTGGTGTAGTTGCCGGCCGTCGACCTTCACTCCCATGTCTTCCCATTCCAGTTGACGCATGACGTTCTCGAGAGCGGCGCTGAAGAGTTTGGGCGAGATGGTGTCGCCCTGTCGACCCCTCTCTTGACGTCGATGATGACCTCCTTGTAGAATGGTGAGATTGGTCGTAAAGTTGCTGTAGAGCTCACGAAGAATCTTGATGTACTGAGTAGGGACGCCCTGGTTGCCCAAGGCTTCGATGACCGCTTCTGTCTCCACAGAGTCGAAGGCCTTCTTCAAGTCGATGAACGTGAGACAAAGCGGCATCTTGTACTCTCGTGAAACTTCAATGAGTCTTGTAACCGTGTGGATATGGTCGATCGTGCTGAACCCTCTTCGAAACCCTGCTTGCTCGCATGGCTGTCCTTCATCTAGTATTCTGCCGATCCTGTTAAGGATGACTCGAGTGAATAGCTTGTAGATTACAGACAGCAGGCAGATTGGGCGATAGTTGCCAATGTCGTCCAGGTCTCCCTTCTTGTACAGCAACACGGTCCTGCTGGTTTTCCACGGAGTGGGTACCTTGCATTCCGACAGGTAGCGCGTGAAGAGTCGAGCCAGAGTTTTGATGATAACTGGCGGCGCATTCTTCAGATGTTCCGGTTTGACCCTGTCGAGACCGGGTGCTGTACGATTCTTCACCGACTTGATGGCGTGTCGGACTTCGGAAGAGAGAACTGAGGGGACGACGTATCCATCCTGTTGCAGTTGATAAGTGGGCAGATGGACATGGCTATCGAAGAGATCCGAGTAGAAGTCGTGGATGACTTTCTCCATTGCCCTTCGGGATGCAGTAACTGTTCCATCCGGACGTCGGAGGCAGGTCATCTTGGTCTTGTAGCTGGCAAAGCTTCGGCGGGCATTGCGGATGCTCCTCCCAGCCTCTGCTGCTTCAGCTAATACTGCTGCTCTTCGCTCCTTGAGATCTTCCTTTATCGCCTCTCTGCATAGCTTCGCAAGCTCGGACGTGAGTCGG